TGGTGTGTAGAAGACTGTAGACAGATCCATATCTATCACCAAGCACAAAACTTAAGTCCAAATGGATCAAAGACTTCAAAATAAATCCAGCCACACTGAAGAGAAAGTGGGAAGTACCCTGGAACAAATTGGTACAGGAGACCTCTTCCTGAACACAGCACCAGTACACAGACACTGAGATCAACAATTAACAAATGGGACCTCCTGAAACTGAGAGGCTTCTGTAAGGCAAAGGACACAGTCAACAAGACAAAATGGCAGCCCACAGAATGGGAAAAGATATTCACCAACCCCAAATCTGAGGGCTGATTTCCAAAATACACAAAGACCTCAAGAAGCCAGACACACACACACACAAAAGAAAGGAAGGAAGGAAGAAAACATACAGTATTTACCACAGTTAGAAAAACAGAAGCTGGAAAGAATATGACAGTAATCTAGTAATGTCTCCCATCATCTACAACAAAGCACCAGCTCCTTGGTAGCAGGGCCTCAGTCTTAGCTTCTCTAAGAAATCAGAAACCTAATGTATGATGAATGACTAATTAGAGGCAAGTTAGTATCATTTTATAATCCTGACTGCATCTTACTTATAGAGGTCATACACAAAGACCTGAGCTAAATACGTGTGCCCAAAATAGAGAACTGGAACGGCAAATGTCTTCCTCGAGGAAAGACACTGTCACAGAAGTTAATTGAATTCTTATCTGTCCTCCTATTTTTATCTCCATGTTCTCTATTAACTGGCCTCTTTTCTCCTTTCTCTGTCTTCCTCTGACTTTTCCTTCTTTCCTTAGGCTGAACTGTTTTTACTACTAGAAGCTGAAGCCACTTGCCTACAATTCTAACACAAGATCCTGCACAGGACACTTACCAACCCTTACCACTGTCATCAACTGTCAATTCCTTGTCTGTAACTAGAGAGTCTTAGTCTTAGAAGCTATTCATTGTTTGCCCCCCCACAAAAAAAGAAAATTTCAAAGTAGATTAAGATTGCCTTGGAGTTGGATGTGGTGTCACACATCTATAATCATAGCACTTAGGGGCAGGGACAAGAGAATCAAGAGCTTAAGGCCTCTGGGCCACAGAGTACAAAGAAGGCTATCTAAGCTACATGAGAAACAGTCTTTAAAAAAAAAAAAAATAGAGGGCTGTGAAGTTAAATTGCACATGGTGACGTAACCTGTGATCCAAACAACCACGAAGAGGCACAAAGAGTCCAACTAGAGGCTAGCCTGGGCTAACTGCAAGCTCCAAGATAGCATGGTCTATAGGGTGAGCCCTGTCTCAAATAGCAAACAAACAAAAAGATAGTTGACTTCATTTAAATAATATATAGAGAGAATTTTATAGTGTCTGTTCTATTCCTGGAAGTACCTTTTTAAGAACTCAAAAGAATTAAAACAAATCTTTGAAAAATTAATATAGGATTTATCATTTTTGAGTTGCCTAAAAACATTGACTGGCCACTTGATGGAATTTAGAATCACTGTGGAAGCAAATCTCTGGGCATGTCTGTGAGGGAAAGCTTAGATCAGGTTAAATGCAGAGGAACAGGCCACCCAAATTTGGGTGGCGTTATCTCTGGGGGTAGGCCCTAGACTGCAGGCATGGGGCAAGTGGGCTGGGCAACAGCACTCTTCACTCTGCATCTGACCAAAAGCAGCCTGGCCTCCCTGGAACAAGAGAAATAATTAATACAATATCTAATTTCACAGACTGTTGTTTTCTCTTTGCAAAACAAACACGGTTTCATAGAATGCTTTCTGCAAGGTAAGTAAGCAATCTGCAGGATGTGTTTCTTGGTTTCCTTTCTTGTTTCTGGGATAAAAATACTCTGATCAAAGCAACTTAACAAAGCAGTTTATTTTAGCTCACAGTTCGAGGTCTGACATCATGACAGGGAAGTCAAGGGGCAGAGATGGAGGCAGCTGCTCATACTGCAGGTCTCAACTGCAAACAGCATGGGTCAATGCACCCTGCTCCCTTCTCCATCTTCACAGTCATGGATCTAAGTCAGGGAATGCTGCCACCCATAGGGGGCAGTGCTTCCCATCGCTACAGCTTGCTCAGAAGCCTGTCTCCTAGGTAACTCCAGATCTTACCAGTCTGACAATACTAACCATCACAAAGCACAAGAGAATTTTCAAAGCAAAAATGTTTAAGGCAAAAACTTTAAAAGACAAAAGTTAAGGCTGCAAATGGAAGCATTCCAAGACAGAAGTTTTGAGCAGCAAAAGCCACAGGTATTCACTTACATTGTAGCCAGACTCCACATTAGAGTTACAGAGGGAGTAACTGTCAACAACTATCAAAGCCAAGGACCCCTCTACACCAACTGAACCAGAATCCCGGGGTTTGAGCCCAGGCATAGGAATTAATCCAAGGCTCCAGAGCTGGTCACAATGTGTTCAAAATTACTGACCAATTCTAAGATTTAATACATTAAAATATTAAGGAATTAACTGGTACTGATACTTTATTTTAAAAGAATTGTCATTCAATAAAATGCCAATCTTTATCTAGTATTCCAGTGTTTATATCCAATTCTCAACAAACTAAACCCTCAGTCTGATGATGTCATGAAGACAAACAGGAGACTCTGAAGTGTAGAGGAGATGGGAGGTCTAGTAGACTGTCAAGGGGTGAACATCAGACTGAGGAACTCTGACAACACAGTCTACATGGAAAGAAAGTGTCACTGTATGGTTCTTTAAAAGGAGTGGCATGATGGTCCTCCCCAGATCGTATGGAAGTATTTTTTCCTATTCCTCTTCCTAGGTCCAACTAAAACAAAAGACATTTGCCTAAAACAAGCACAGGGTCAGTGAAAGAAACAGACAACAGCCCATGTGGGAACATGAGACCCAAAGAACCTAGCAAGAGTTTTATAGAGTTCCTGTTCCCTTCACTGCATCTCAGACTCAAAGGTGAAAGGCCATCAATCTGAAAACAGAACAGAAGGGCTACCAACACAATTAAAGCCTTTGGCCACAGACAAGGAAAGGCAATGTAGCAGGGCAACAAACTTTTAGACAATAATTATGCTATACACTGGGACAGGAAACACTGCAATTCAGAAGGCCACAAAGATCCAAGAGTTTCATCTCCCTGTGTCCCACTATCCCTATGTATAGATGGAACCTGCATGAGGACCATATTAAAATTTCATCAAAGACTTTAACGAAGGCTTATTGCTGGGCATGGCTGTAGTAGTATATTATTTATGACTGATTAAAAACTTGCTGGAGGATTCAGAAAGCAAAGCCAGCCTCAAGCTATAGCGACCAGGCAGTGATGATACACACTTTTAATCCCAAGATTCAGGAGAAAGGCAGATGGATCCCTGAGTCCAAAACCACCCTGGTCTACTGGAGAGTGAATCAGTGAATCAGAGCTCACGCCCTTTTTTTTTTTTTTTTTTTTTTTTTTTTTTTTTTTTTTTTTTGGTTTTTGGAGACAGGGTTTCTCTGTGTAGCTTTGGAGCCTATCCTGGCACTCGCTCTGGAGACCAGGCTGGCCTCGAACTCACAGAGATCTGCCTGCCTCTGCCTCCCAAGTGCTGGGATTAAAGGCGTGTGCCACCAATGCCTGGCAGAGCTCACGCCTTTAATCCCAGGATTTGAGAGGTATAAAAGGTAAAGGCATTCATTCTGAGATTAGTCTCTAGCCTCACGGAGGAGAGCATAACAGTCTGAGCGAATCTGAGGAGCAGTAAAGTTGGAAGTAGTCTAAGGATCACCCCTTTGGTATGAGCTGAGGTAGAGGTAAGAGTCAATGGCGGGACGCTTTGCTTTTCTGATCTTCAGCTTGAAGCTTGAATCCCAATATCCGTCGCTGGATACACGTGGTGGTACACAGCTGGGGTGTCACTAATTGGAAGTCAGAGGCAAAGAGATCACCTGGATCCAGGAGTTGGATGATCAGCCTGGCAGCACTATGAGGCCTTGTTGTGGTTTGAAAGAAAATGGCCACCAAAGGGAGTGGCACTATTAGGAGGTATGGCTTTGTTGGAGTAGGTGTGGACTTGTTGGAGGAAGTATGTCACTGTGGGAGTGGGCTTGGAGGTCTCCAATGCTCAAGCTACTCCCAAAGACACAGACCATTTCCTATTGCCTACAAACCACGATGTTGGTCACTCAGCTACTTCTCCAGCACCATGACTGCCTGCAAGCCATTATGTAACACCATGATGATAATAAACTAAACCTCAGAAAATGTTAAACCATCCCAATTAAACATTTTTCCTTTATAAGAGTTGCCATGGTCATGGTGTCTCTTCATAGCAATAGAAACCCTGAGACAGACCTGATCTCAAAAAACAAATAAAACTCCAACAATCAATTTTGAGCATGGCTAAAATAAATGAAAAACCAAAGTTTCATCAAAGAAACAAAAGCTACAAAGAACTGAAAGGGGAGCTGGACACAGTGGCACATACCTGTAGTGCCTATGATCCAAAAATTCTGCAGGCTGAGGCCAGAGAATCAGGAGCTTGAGGCCAACTGGGATACACAGCATGTTAAATAGACTAAATAGTAATGTCTTGTTCCAAAAAAGAGTGAAAAATCATGAAAACAAGAGAAGTTAATGAAATGACAGTCTTGAAAAGTAATAGCTGAAATTAAGGCTGGCCCATCATTCAGTTTTGTAGTACTTGAACACGTGAGACATCTCAGTGAAGTAATAGTGCCCTGCATACAATTCTAATTGAGAGAAAACAAGAGAACAGATCTCCAAGATCCAAGGGGCCAAAACAAAAACCTCCATCAGCCTGGTCCCAGAAGGGAGGGAAAGGGACCCTGACTGCAGATGGGTAAAAATGCACTAGGCAAAATCACAACACTTTCGATTTGGCAAGACACACACACATACAAGTTCAAGAAGTTAAGTGAAACCTCAAGAGGAGAGAACCCAAAACATCTGCCTCACGCCACAGCACAATAAATCTCCTGAAAACCAAGGACAAAGAACACATTCAGAGAAAAATGGGATCTTACCCGGTGTTCTGAAAAACAATTCAAATGACAGGAGGCCTCTCCAGATACCACGGTAGGCAGAAGGAGGCAGCACAATATTTTTCAAATGCTGAAGAAAAAAAAAAAGGTTGTCAACCCCAAAACCTAGACTCAACAAAAATATTTTGAGCTCAAGGAAAGTTAAGAGAGTCATAGATGAAGGGAAGCTGAAAACACATTTTTGTCAACAATGGACATAGTTTAAAAGAATGGGTCAAAGAAATTCATGTTAACAAAAGAAGAAACTGTACCTTATGAGGAAAACAATGTGATGAGCAAAATCATTGGTAAATACACGTTTCTTATCCATGCGTTTGACAAATAAAGCAGAGCAGTTTGTGCATAGGAAATATTTTAAAGCATGAAGTGCTACTGGTGGGGGAGGGTTCTGCAAAATCTTGAGGAGGCAGGACTTCTCTGGTTTCTGCCACTGTCTCCTGCTCCCCACAACATGAGGAGCTGCTGTGGAATGCCCCTGGTGCCTAGAACTCCTCCAAGCTGCCTGCCACAAAGGACCAGAAATCTGACACCCTGAGCATGAACGGATCTTTCCTCCCGTAAGACATTCTGCCAGGAGTTCGGTCAGAAGACAGCAAAGGCTGAGAGCGGACACAGGAGGTGAGGCTTCCATCTCTCTCCACACTGGTAAAATGGTGACAATAGGCTATAAGAAGTTACACACTCTGACGTTGAACACTGACAACATCTACAATCACCTGAGAGATAAATCTCTGGATGTGTCTATGAGGATTGGGTTTACTGTGGTAGAAAAACACCCTTAAATGTGACCATCACCATTCAATGGGCTGGGGTCCAGGACTGAATGAAAAGACATGAGCTGAACACCAGCCTTCGGCTCTGCTTCCTGACTGCAGATGCAATCTGACCAGCTAGAAACAGAAAACAAGATAAACAAACAAAAATACAGACCAGTCCTAACACAGCAAATACATTAAGTGTAAATAATCCAAATATATTGAGAGACGACAAAAGAGTAGTTCAAGAAACACGACCCAACTACAAGCTGCCTATAACAAATATAAAAAACTATTTATGGTACTAGTGATTGAATTTATGTCTTCAAGCACACTAGGCAACAGGGCTATTACTGACCTATAAGCAAGTCTCATTTCTTTCTTCTGTTTAGTTTGGGACAAAATAAAAGTTGGCCTTGAACTTACTCTGTAGCTCAGGCACACCTCAAATTTATGATTCTGCTTCAGCTGCCAGAATAAATGAGACTATAACACATCACCTACCCCAGTTTAAGCTCAATACAGAGTAACTACAGAGGCAGGCTGAAAGTAAAAGAATGTAAAATGATTAAACATGTAAATAGTAGCCAAAGGAATACAGGATGACCTCTAATAATATATAAAGCTCACTTCAAAGCAATGAAAATACCAGAGAAGTATATTACATAGCACACCTGAATGTGTGTCCGACAAACAGCAACAATGAGACAAAAACAGAACTGAGAAGGTAATCCAGTTACAACTGGAGATGCAACAGTCAGCCTCCCTCCCTTTGTTCCTCCCCTCCTACACCCCACTTCTTTCCCCTTACTCCTTCTCCCCGCCCCCCCCCACCCTCTGTCACCCTGCCCTGGTCCCTCAAAAGTTCATAAAAACAATATAGAACAATAGCCTCAGATCGACCAACAATCCCTGGTCAACATTTATGGAATAGCAGAATGCACCTTTCTTCATATCTTTCAAAATATCCATGGATCACATCCCAAGATGACCCCAGGTAATAAAACAAAGCCTCCCTAAACATAAAGCAACTAAAATCAGACTGAATGTATTCTCTGATCACAATGTAATCAAGCTAGAAATCAGGAACAAAGATGAAAGGCAAATACATTTTCAACCATTTCAAAACCAAGGAGCAGTTTTTAAATAATTATCAGGAAGATGGAAAGGGGTAAAGGTAAAATTCACTGTGAACCTACACCACAGTTGGCCTCGATCCAACACTGAGCTTCTGTATGATATAAGAACTGGGCTCCCATTAGTAAGTTCCATTTGAGCACATATTTCTTGCTGTTTAAGTAGGCATTATTTATAATTGAATAGAATAAGATGAGGGGTTTTTGTCTTCCCTCCCTTCCCTTGGGTTTAATTGAGGTGTTAGGAGTGCCATTAAGTGGCAGAACACAGATTTTCATGCACAAGGCCCTGAGTTCAATTGTCAGCACTGCCATTTCAGTTCTTCGATTACTTGAATCACTGAATCACAAGACACAGTAATGAACATACATAGGGGGGTGTTACCAATACTTCCCCTCATCAGCCTGTGCTGGGCACCCAAATATCACCAAAGCAACTGCAGTGCCTGGCAGGAGTCTACACAACAGATGTGCTTATGTCCCTAAAAAGTCCTAACCCTCAAAGTGAGGGTCTTGGGTGATGGGCCTCTTGTACTGACTAGGTCCTGAAGACAGCAGTAGCACCCTCCTGAGAGGGATGTCCAAATCATATGACCTACAGCTAGCCACGGAGGAAGCAAAGACAGGAAGACCTCAAATTCAATGCCTATTTGGGCTGAAAATCAAGCTCAAGGCCAGCCTAGGCAACATACTGAGACTGTCTCACATTTTAAAAAACAAAGAGGACCAAGGATGCAGTTCAGACATACAGCACCTGCCCTTGCATATGTAAGACCCTGAGTTCAATCCCCCTTGTTACAAAAACAACAGAGATCCCAAAAAGCCCCTTCCTGCCTTCCTCCAGGCAAGGCCAGGACAAGATGGCCATCTAAGAACTACATCTGACACCAAACGTGATATTGCCTTTATCTCGGACTTTCCTACCTTTAGAAGTATCCAAGATAAACCCACATTGCTTATAACACACCCAGAATATAACCTGAACAAACAAATTAGATATAAATAGCGGCCTGAACAGACAAAAACAGATGGAAATTATAAAAGTTTCTCTCCTACCAGCATTCTTTTTTCTAAAATATCTGATCTCAAGGAAGTATTAGGGAAGAAAAAAAAAACAAATATCTGCTTAGATGACTCACAGTAAGATATGACTAACTGCTGAGCTTGAATAGTCCCAAGGTACAAAAACAGTCTCACTCAAAGGGCACTGTAACAGAGACTGTGTGCAAAGCAGAACCGAGTGCTCCCATCAGCTTACTTAACTCAGCTGCCCTAGGGCCTGTCACACCCTCCAGCCCTGTTTCTACCCTGGCAGTTCTCGTATTTAGGATGTAAATGGGATAAAACCCTAAATCACAAAGCACTGATGGTAGCTTCCTTCTTGCTACAAACCCTGATCCCGAAGGGGCTTAGAACCTTTCCCACACAGGGAGACAGTAAGCGAGGAGCTCTTGTCTGGATAAAGACAATCCAAGCCCCACCAACATTTGTGAAATCTGCACTTGTCTCCTCAGCTGCCTTAAAGCTCACTCCTAAGTGCTCCAGGGCATCTGTGTAGATGGAATCACCAGTCCCCAGTAGTCTGTAGTCTGTCCTTTCAAATTAAGACAAAAAGACTTAAGCAGGACTGAACTGTATTTAAAAGCTACTAAGAGAAATTCAGACTTTTGAATCCAGCCAGGCTTGCTGAAGGCAAGAGAGATGTTTCTGTTGGCTGTGTCCATTGGGCTTCAGAACAGACTCAGATTCCACTGAAGTGTTTACTGCCTTCCTGGTTTACACCCCTTTCCTCTCCTCAGCATGGTGACCATGTCTCTAACTACACCATCACCTAAGTGCCAATAATGTGTTCTAGAGTGCTGGCATGTCCATCCTGTGAGGATTAGGAAGGGGTACACATATGTGCTAGACCTGCCTCACAGAGTCCAACACAAGAGGCAAAGACAGAAAAAGCAAAGGACTGATCATGCTGACTCCATCCAGCTGAGAGGTAACCAGCCACCCATCTAACAAACAGCACAGACACCAACTCGTCAGGAAAAATGCTCGTTCTGTGTTAGCTCTGGAGGTTGTAGCCCACTGCTGGAGCACAGTGGGGTGGTGCTTTATGGCAGGCACACAGAGTAAATATATTCCCCTCATAAAAAGAGGGTCCCCAGATCCCTTTAGGGCTTGCCTCCAATGACCCAAAGAACCCACCACCCAATACTTAAGGTTTCCACCACCTGGCAATACACCAAGCTGGGCTCCAGCTTCTGACATATGGGCCTTTGACAGATATGTTAGATGCAAACTTTACCCAGAATGCCCAGAACTGGAGAAGAAAACAAAAGCAAAGGTACCCAAACTACAGCAAGCTGGGGAAAGCAGACTCAGCTCTTGTTTTTAAGCAATGGGAAGAAGGGGAGGAAAGCAATGGAACATGGCTGGGCAGAAAGAGAAGGTATGAGACACAACTGCTGACTGGCAGTGGTCAGACTTGCTAGAGAACACAACAGAAAAGGAAAACTTCTAAAAGTTGCTGTTACTGCTAATCATGTTTGAATATGCAAATTGCTTTTATTTCATGCCTGATTATTATTCAAAATAAATCTGCATGTTATAAATTATGCCCAGACTGATGTGTTTTGAGCTTTATGTAACCACCAACTGTGTTTCCAGCCCTCTCTTGGCAGCTTCCTTCTTGGTCAATTACAAAGCTGCAAAGGGCCACTCCTCCTAAAACTTCAAGCATCCCAAGTCACCAAGCTGTTCAGGAGGTCAGCAATTTGGAATTTCAATGCTCAGCTGGTCTGCCCTGCAACTACAGTGTTTTAGTCTTTCCCAAGCTATTCCTCACCTCAACAGTGTTCCATCACTTCCCAACTAACAGAGAACAAAAGAGTTCTGAACAGGCAATATCCAAATCAAAGCTTTTGCTTGCTTGATTGCTTGTCTGAGATAAGGTCTCACTGTATAGTCCAGGCTAGCCTATAACTCACTATGCCTCTCTGGCTTCCCTTGAACTCACTGGTGATCCTCCTGCCTCCGTCTCCCAAGTGCTAGGATTATAAGCATAAACAAATCCTAAACACTTAAGTACCTTACTTTGAAGAGATATCAAAATAAATTCATAACAAAAGAAATTTCCAAGGGATAAACAAAAATCAAATAATTTGGTTATGAAATTAACAATGTAACAC